AAAAAAAAAAAAAAAAAAAAAAAAAAAAAAAAAAAAAAGGCTTGTTTAATCTTGAGAAAAGAAGACTGAGAGGAAACCCTTCAAATATGTTAAGGGCTGTTATAAAGAGGAGGAGAATCAATTGTTCTCCATGTCCAATGAAGGTAGAAGTAGTAGTAATGGGCTTAATCCCAAGAAGGGAGATGTAGGTTAGGTATTAGGAAAACCTTTTTAACTATAAGGGAAGCTAAGCTCTGGAAAAAGCTTTCAGGGGAATCCCCATCACTGGAGGTTTTTAAGAACAGGTTAGACAAACTACTGCTAGGAATGGTTTAGGTCTGCTTGGTCCTGCCTCTGCACAGCAGGCTGGACTTCATGACCTCTAAGGTCCCTTCCAGCTCTCTGCAGCTATGGTTCATCATGTAACCAGACTGAGGGAGGACATCTGGAGGCTGAATAGATATTCCATTCTCTTTCAAGTTCAGTTGTAGGGAAGGCTCACTCAAATCAAACTTCTGTGAGTGGGTCCACTTCATCTGTGGGTCCAGCAAAAAGACTTCTATCTGAGAATTCTGGGAATCCAGATGTGACAGAGATGTCATCTGGTATTGTGATGAAGTTCACAAGACTCAAGTCTTGGGATATTTCAGCATCACACTGACAACACCTCTGCAGCCATTGCCCAAAATATCAAATCTGAACTCTACACCTTAAGGTTTCTACAAGTAATCCCTGGACTCACTCACACAGCCACTGTACTGTGGACTGGATGTGGGCTTGAGAAATTCCCACTGTCCTGGTCCTATCACTTCCTCCTTTGAACAGAACTAAAACATTGCCTCATTGCTTGGCAAAAAAAAAAAAATTACTGTCGTTCGCCTTTAAACTCTTAGACTCTTCCAAGTTCCAAACTTTATTTGTTGGCAGCCTGCCCAGCCAAGAGGCCAAGGGCTGCATAAAAGTTATTGATATACTGAGTAGGGCTAATAGATATTCTAGCACCAAAGTACTCTTTCCAATTCCACCTGTGACAGAAAAATAGGGAAGAAAGAAAAACGTGAGTGTTGGTGGCTGCTCTGATTCAAATATACTTAAGCTACTGGAGACCTATTTCTCATTTATTCCTAACCACCAAAGTGAACTTAGTGTAAATTATGCTTATGTCCATTTTAAGGCCCTTTATGCTGCCAGCATGGAAGAAAGGTGGTCTTTTTAGTATAAATGAGAATTAGGCCCAAATAACTTCTACAAACTATGCCACCTCTTTAAAGGAGTCAGAGGATCCCTTTCTTCTGACATAGATTCAGTAAAGTCATGTATTGCTGAACTTGTTCAGACTGTAAATCACTTCATAGACCCAAATTTCCTCCAATGAATTGAGAACACAAGACTTCTGATGTGAGACTGTTGTTTTCAGAGGTAGTCATGCTCATCTGGTGTGGTCTCAAGTCCACCAAAAATAACAAACTGAGTGCAGGACCAGGAACTCAACACATTCCTTCCGAGCATTCTTTTGGGGAGGTTCTATGGCCTGTGTTATGCAGGAGATCCGATTAGATGACCATAATGTTCATTCTGGTCTTGGAATCTATGAAATATGCACCATTCATACAAACAGGAGCCATGGAAATTTTGATAGGACTACCATCTGCATATCTGCTCATTTTGCTGCTCTTGCCTGGTACAAGAGAGTAGAGAGAACCTGATATCCCTGCTGGCGGATTGTCAGTGCATCTTTTGGGAAGAATCTACCACCTACATTACATTTTAATAGTCTAAACAGTACTAAATTTGTCACTTGATGCTAGAGAATTTACAAACCATCATCGTCTAATCTCAGTTTCCTGAACAAACTAATTGAGAAGGTACCAAAAAAGAGTCTCAAACATTATCTTCATCTCCTGGTATCTGATATCCTTCTCATTAAGGCTATAGGTCAGGGCATGGTATAGAGACAGTACTTGTTGAATTACTTCCTCCTGTCCAATGATAAGGAAAGTACATCTTTAATGATCAATCATCCCACTGGGCGTGTCTGTGGCATTTGATATCATTGATCACCAAGTACAAGTGCTACCATTTCAAGATGGGAAAAACAACTGCTGTGAAATGGCTCAGATCCTCTTCCTTGGACTAATCCTCGAGGGTCGTTCATAAGCAACTGTTCCTTCACCTCCTGGCATTCTGCAAGTGAAAGCACTGAAGTCTCAATCCTCCCTCCCATATTATCTCTATGTATAAGTAATCAGTTGAACAGACTAGACAACGCAGGTTGGCATGCTAGCAGTATCTACATGACACCAAGCTTACAGCTCATTCACATCAAATGCAAAAATCAGCATCTCCTGGGTTTTTCAGTGCTTTGCTGAAATCCACTGAAGAGCACCTAACTAAAGCTGAATACAAGTAAGATTGAGATGATGCTGGAAGGAAAGAAATCTAAGAACTTGTCCCCTCTATAACATCTCCCACTGTAGTAGGAATAGGAGTGGAGAGGTTATTTTTACTTTTGTATTTGGCATTAGTGTGATGGCTACTGGGATACTGTGTCCAGTTCTGGTATCCACATTTCAAGAAGGATGTTGATAAATGTAAGAGGGTTCAGCGAAGAGCCATGAGAATGACTAAAGGATTAGAAAACATGTTTTACAGTGATAGAACTCCTTGGGTCTATCTATTTAGTTTAACAAAGAGGTGTTTAAGGGGTGACTTGATTACAGTCTATAAGTACCTATGTGGGGAACTAATATTTAATAATGGGCTCTTCAATCTATCAGAGAAAGGTATAACATGATCTAGTGGCTGGAAGTTGAAGCAAGACAAATTCAGACTGGAAATGAAGCATACATTTTTAACAATGAGAGTAATTAACCATTGGAACAATTTACCCCGGATTATGGTAGAGTCTCCATTACAATTTTTTAAAATCACAACTGGATGTTTTTCTAAAAAGATCTGCTCCAGGAATTATTTTGGTCAAGTTCTGTGGCCTGTGTTATACAAGAGGTCAGACTAGATTATCACAATGCTCCCTTTTGGCCTTAGAATCTATAAGGGGGTGTGTGGAGAAGGGAGAAAAATGTGTAAAATGAGAATCAGAATGGTCTTTAATGCATTTTTCAAAACACTATAATTTTTAAGAAATGCAATTTCTTCTGCATGACTTGTTAAATATCTTTTTTGGTAAAATTAGGAGCTACATCCCAGATGTCAAAGAGAAAAATGTTCAGTCTACTTATTCAGACTACCATCTGAATCTCAAACCAGTTTGGATTACATCAACAGAAGACATGGTATGTAAATGTTATTTCTTCTTATAGTCATTTTTATACTACACCTCTACCCCGATATAATGCTGTCCTCAGGAGCCAAAAAACCTTACCGCGTTATAGGTGAAACCGTGTTATATCGAACTTGCTTTGATCCGCTGGAGCGCACAGCCCCGCCCACCCAGAGCGCTGCTTTACCGCGTTATATCCGAATTCGTGTTATATCAGATCACGTTATATCTGGGTAGAGGTGTACTTTCATATCAAGTGCTTCACTTCTTACAGTGTGCAGGCAGAAAGGCTGTAATCTTACAAGTCAGGCATCTTTGTTTGAATTTACATGCCACTGTACTACAAATTATGAAGTATTTGACAATGTGATACAGACCAGGATTCTGTGCTCATCTGACTGACCAGCTGTACATTTTAGAGTTCTGTTCTTTTCTTTTAGAAACACCTGAGTCTTCCAGACATTTAAAGTGATTGTTGTTTTTCAAGTGCTTGCTCATGTAGATTCTATTCTAGGTGTGCATGTGCCCACGTGCACGGTTGTTGGAGATTTTTGCCTTAGCAGTATCCATAGGGTTGGCTATGGCGCCCCCTTGAGTGCCAAGCTCATGTGTCAGTATATCAGGCGCTGCTGGCCCTGCACCCTCTCAGTTCCTTCTTTCTGCCTGTGGTGGTTAGTTGGAGTGCTTTGCCTTGCATAGCAAGGGCTAGCGGTTTCATCTCTTCTTACTTTGAGCGTTAGGGCCTTGTAAATAGTTGTTTATAGTAGTTAGTGTTAAATAGTTAAGTGTAGTTAGAGTCCCAGTGGGGACTTCGCCCCAGGCAGCGCATGCCCCGGTCTCTGGGGTTTAAGCCTTGCACGGACTGTAACAGGCCTATGCCTGTAAGTGACCCCCACAGCAGCTGCCTCAAGTACTTGGGGGAATCATATGTGAAGGACAAGTATCGTATCAGTAAAAATTTTCGACCCAGGACTCAGAAAGAGGTGGAGGAGATGGCCGGGCAGGCAGACACCTTGTTCAGTGTGCTTTCGGCTTCTGCCCCTGCCCTTGTTGCACTACTAGTGCATGACGGGGTCCTGAAAATTGCCATGGTCCTCTGGCAAACCCCGTCATCCATCCCTCCCACCTCCAAAAGGGCCAAAAAGAAGTACTTTGTCCCGGCTAAAGGGTTCGTTTAACTTTTTATACCCACCCATCTCTGGGCTCGTGGTCTGCTCTCTGGCCAACGAGAAGAACAAACGGGGGCATGCCAGTTCAACTCCCAAGAATAAAGAGGCCAAAAGAGTGGACATTTCCGGGAGAAAAATGTATTTGAGAGCCAGTCTGCAATTCCAGGTGGCGAGCCACTAGGCCTTCTTGGGCAGGTAGGTGCAACTTTAACTTATGGGACTCCCTCCGTAAGTTCAAGAAGTCCCTCCCTCAAGGTTTGGCCCAAGAATTCAGCACCCTGGTTGAGGACGGTACTGTGGCAGCGAGGTGCTTCCTCCAAATGGTGTGGGATGCAGTGGACTCGGCGGCTAAGGTGGTCATTTCAGCGATGGTCATGAGGCGCAGCTCCTGGCTTCAGACCGCTGGCCTGTCCCAAGAGATGCAAACCTCGATCCAGGACCTCCCATTTAATGGGAATGGGCTTTTTGCAGGGCAAATGGCTGTGAGGCTGCATGGTTTAAAGGACACTCGGGCCACCCTTCACTCGCTGGGTATGCATACACCGCAGTCTGCAAGGAAGCAGTGCCAGCCACCCCTGCCGCCAAGGCCTTGGCAGCCTCATCATGGGTCTGCAAGGGGAAGTGATAGAGATATGAGTTTTAGTCATTGCTGCCCTTCCTCCTCCCACTCACCCACGCAGCCTGGCCCGGCAAAGCATCCTGGGGACCAGAAGCCCACATTTTGAAGGTGTACTTGTGAGCGATGCCTCGGTCAACTCCCCGGATCCACCTTGTTCTTTCCTCAATTGTCTTCGTCCCTACCGTTCAGCCTGTTCGCGGGTCATTCAGACCGCTGAGTGCTAGACATAGTATGTCAGGGCTATACCCTGTAATTTTCGGCCGCCCCTCTCTCCCACCCATCCCTCTTCAGGGACCCTTCTCACGAGCAACTCCTCATTCAAGAGGTCAAGAACCTCCTGCACCTGGGGGCGGTGGAGGAGATCCCTCGGGACATGAAAGGGGTTCTATTCCCACTACTTCCTAATCCTGAAAGCAAAAAGGGGCCTCAAACCCATTCTGCACCTGTATCGCCTCAACAAGTCACTCAGAAAGTTGAAGTTTCGCATGGTCTCCCTGGCCTCCATCATCCCTTGAGTTTCTACATGACCTGGTTGGATGTGACCTCGGTCAATATTTCTACCTCTGGGTAGTTTAAGTATGCATCAGATATAACCAAATAGTCTATCTTCTAGGGCAGGGGTTGCCAACCTGTGGCTCCAGAGCCGCATGCGGCTCTTCAGAGGTTATTATGCAGCTCCTTGCATATGCGCTGACTCCAAGGCTGGAGCTACAGATAATAACTTTCCAGTGTGCTGTGGGGTGTTCACTGTTCAGCCCCCTGCTCTGCCCCCAGTCCTGCCACCACTCCTAGGGTGACCGGACAGTCCCGATTTTAACACATTTGTCCCGCGTCCCGACCGCACATCAGTCGGGATGCCCTTTGTCCCGATATCGGGGACTGCTTACCATGAGTCACCGCCAAAGTCCCGGGGCTGGCGTGGTGCTTCCTGGGGCAGCTCGGGGTGCGCCTGCCCGCCGGCAGGAGCCTGCAATGCTGGCGGCCACTAGGCACAGAGGCGGAGGGGGTCTCTGCATGCTGCACTGGTTCCTTCCTGCCCAATCAGAGCTGCGGGGACGGGGCTTGCAAGCGCCAGCAGCGGGCAGAGAGCCCTCCGCCACCCCGTCCACCCCACCTGACCCGACCCGACTCTAGGAGCAAGAGGGACCTGCTGGATGCTTCCCGGGAGCTGTCCCAGGTAAGCACCGCTGGGGACTCCCCACCTCGCCCCCCGGCAGGTCCCTCTGGCTCTTAGGGTCGGGGCCCCGTGCGTGGCACAAAGAGTCGGAGAGCACCACCCCGGGCTCCTGCCATCCCGGGAAGCTCAGTGAGCTGGCGTGGCTGCGAGCTGGGGGAGAAGTCTGCCCCAAAGCAGCGGCGCAGCGCCACTGGTGGAGCCGCCGCCGCCTGGCTCTGGGCAGCTGGAGGGGGCACCGGCAATGCCCCGCCCTGCAGACCGCATAGCTCCACTCCCCACTCACCGCACGGACAGCTCCCTGCGGTGCGCGGCCTCCTTTCAGTGCTGGGCGCTGTGCACGCCAGAGGGGTAAATAGCAACCCGGCCCCCGCCATGCCACCCCCAGATGGCCAGCCCGCCTGGGCCGCTGCCTGCCATCAGCCGTGACACAACGAGGGTGTTTGGCTGGGGAGTGCAGCCTGCAGCAGCCGGAGGCAGGGAGGGCACCGAGGGGTCCGTGGCAGAGAGCAGGGGCGTGTGGTGCCTCGATGTGGGGCAGTTTCCCCTGTGCCCCCCCAACTATCTCCCGCAGCGGGGTGGGGGTGGTTATGAAGCCAGGCAGGAGAGTCAGTGGCCACTTTGGGTGAGTCTGCCCTGCAGTTTAAGTGCAGGATTAGTGGGACTTGAGTCAGCTGAGCTGTGTTAGGGAGCCCTGGGCTTAGGGTGATCAAAGGTCCCAATATTAGAGGCTTTGTCTTGTATAGGCAAGTATTCCCCTCCCCTGGCTCTGAGAGGAGGGGGGGGGGGGAAGTGTCCCAATTTTTTACACTTGCTATCTGGTCACCCTAACCAATCCACTCCTTCCCCCAAGGCCCCTGCCCCTTCCCCCAAGCCTGCCATGCCCTTGCTCCTCCCCCCTCCCCACCAGTGCACACTGCAAAACAGCTCATAGACTCATAGACTTTAAGGTCAGAAGGGACCGTTATGATCATCTAGTCTGACCTCCTGCACAACGCAGGCCACAGAATCTCACCCACCCACTCCTGTAACAAACCACTAACCTATATCTGAGTTGTTGAAGTCCTCAAATCGTGATTTAAAGATCTCAAGGTGCAAAGAATCCTCCAGCAAGTGACCCGTGCCCCACGCTGCAGAGGAAGGTGAAAAACCCCCAGGGCCTCTGCGGATCTGCCCTGGAGGAAAATTCCTTCCCGACCCCAAATATGGCGATCAGTTAAACCCTGAGCACGTGGGCAAGACTCACCAGCCAGCACCCAGGAAAGAATTCTTTGTAGTAACTCAGATCCCACCCCATCTAACATCCCATCACAGACCATTGGGCATATTTACCTGCTAATAATCAAAGATCAATTAATTGCCAAAATTAGGCTATTCCATCATACCATTCCCTCCATAAACTTAGTCTTGAAGCTAGATATGTCTTTTGCCCCCACTACTCCCCTTGGAAGGCTGTTCCAGAACTTCACTCCTCTAATGGATTGTGACAGTTGATTGCGGCCGGCGGGAGGCATGGGGAGGGAAGAGGAGGCGCTGATTGGCGGGGCTGCCGGTGGGCTGGAGGGGGGTAGCGGATGGGGACTGCTGACATATTACTGTGGCTCTTTGGCAATGTTCATTGGTAAATTCTGGCTCCTTCTCAGGCTCAGGTTGGCCACCCCTGTTCTAGGGTAAAGATATCTACCACCCACTCACCATCTGGCACATCCATATTTAATACTTGTCCTTTTGGTGTGGTTGGCCTATGGGCTTGGCATGTGGCATAAATATTTACCATATCAGTGATGTAGTTGTTCATGCTTAGGCAATAGAGTGCTTCCCATGCCCTTCTTTTGCACTTCTCTGTACCCAAGTGACCTTCATGAATGGCCTTTACCATGTTTTTTTCTGAGTTCAGATGGAATCACAATGCTTTTACCTATGAGAAGGACACATTCAACCATAGACAGCTCATGGCTGAAGGGAACATACTGTTTTAGGCATGAATTGTTTTCTCTGTCAGAGTATAGAGTATGAATCATGGGTGGCAGCATCTCATCCTTCACTACAGC